ATCTCTTACAGGACCTCCTTGAACGGTTTCCTCTTTGGAAAGCGCAGGGCGAGTACTGGATTTAGATTTAATAAAACCAATAATAGGCTACTTAAACTTAACTGCAAATTTTGTAGACATGGAATAGACACTACTCAGCACATCTTTTTAGAGTGTAAGTTCTGCCTGAGCATGGCATCTGAATTATCCAAGATCTTGAATGACATCAGCTCGAGCCCTGTAAGTGTTTGTATGGATGACATCTTCTATAACACTTATAGTGGCAACAGCTCCCTTACGGTCCTTAAACTTTTCCAGATCTTTAAGGTCATTGTAATTAAAACTAAGAAGAACTTGGATAAGGAAGATTGCTATGCGATGGCAGACCACTCTAGTAACTTCATTAAATCAGTTATTTCTGATTTAAAACAACATTTGCTGGCACGAGAAATAAAATACGAGAATATCATAATATACAACCTAGTTCCAAATTGGAAAGAAATCCTCTCAGGATGTGATTTCCAAACATAAATCATCTCGCGTGCCTGATAACTGCTGAGGTATAATGAACCAACATCAATTACCTACCTCCATCGCTACATAATGCTGTAGTACTCCTCCAATACTTATTCCAACTTAAATATTGTTAGTATAATAAACTCTGGGGTAACACAGGAACATGATAATTAATAAAGCGAATTATAACGCCACGCACCTAACTGGCTACTTTATTATCATTTAATTTATGATCCCACTTCTTTTTATTATTAATTTCTTCACCTTTCTTTTATAACCCTTTCTCTCCATCATTTTCTTTCTAATCCTTTTACTTTGTCATTCTGACTCTTTCTTTTCTATTTCCTTTTTGTCTGGCCAAAACGAAATACTCGCCACTAGAGGGTTCAATGAGTGTGCATCAGGGTGCATTTCTCCGAACCCTCACATGTGGCGGGAAATATTTTGTGGCGGTCAGGCGTTCTGTTAACTGTCTTTATCTTTTTCAGAAAAAGAAAGACCATCTACAAGCCTCCCCTGCAACAAGTAAGTATAAAAAGGTAAGTACCGGTGGGTTGAGGCCTACCTTTAAAGGTGGGTTATCACGCAAATATTTTTGTGGAAAATTGGATTCTATATATATTTTTAAGATTTTTAACGTTTACCGCTTGCATAAAGTGGACTTAGTTTTCTACTTATGAATTTTTAAAAGCCGCTTCAACGAAAATCGACCCAGATTCGGAAACGGCCTCTGATGACGTAGTAGTGAGAACTCATTCCAGAAATTAGCTCCCTCGCCATTGGCGAGTAGGGTGTTCAACCTCTGTTTTTCGCGTTTAAATCTAGTTTCTCGTCGCTTAGTTTAATAAAGATTGAAACAATAATGTATTGTTAAGCATAAATGCTAATGCATAAGAAGTTCTGATAGTGAGGGATCAAGCCACGGCGTTTTATGTAATGATCGTACCGGTGCGTCAGGGGGCTTTGAAGAACTGATTTTAGAGTAAGTATTTACCACTTTATTTCGTTTATCGACTGTTTGATAAAATATTTAGTCAAAGCATGATGATACCCAGTCACACTTTTGGATGAACCAAATACAAATCGCCAATTTGTACGTTTACCAAAAGAGTGATAGTCTACTACCGGTACCAGATAAACGTAGAATCCCAATAATGGCACAGTTTTTGGACACGTTTAGTGGCCATAACGATCGTTTCAAAATTTTGTTGTTATTGTTACTTTCTTTCGTCATTATCATTAAAAAATCGCTTTTCTCTTCGAATACTGGACCAATTGCTTGGGAATTTTCAGTGGTTCAAGATTGATTTTTTTTGCCAGAAGGCTATTACTTTCATTTATTCCTGAATTTTCCATGAATCTTATGAGATCTAATATTTCATCCAAAATTGCGCTGTATTTATTTTTAATTATGGGAACACGGTTTTTAATCCGCCAAGCGTGACGGCTGACTGTGAAAATTCTTGCGACTGAAAACCCGGAACTTTTTGAGGGTACGGTACCGGTAACGTCAAAGGTAAACCCTGCTTCGCTCTAGTCCACGTGTCCATATATTTGAGCGTTGCTCTCTTGTTTTATATTCATTTCACATGATTAATTATGCAACAAAACACTGTTGTATGTTGAACCTTACTAAACTGTCTGGTGATATTATCCTGATCTTTTTTTTATGTCAGTTCTATCAAGTTAATTTGTACAGCATACTTCGTTTTCCAGTGCACTCTGCTATTTACAACACAGTCCAGCTGTTATCGATCAACTAATGGAGATTCGTGACAACACATTTATTGGCATGAATGAATTACATATGATGAAAACTTGTAATAAAATGTTAAAAATAAATAAAAAACTGATTTGAATAGGATAGGAATAACTGCGTGAAGTATTGTTGTTTCGGGTTGTGGGTAGAAGTCCAACATAATTTTAAGGCTGAAACGATTCTTCGACTTAGAGGTCTTCTTTTAGTACCATGGAGAGACATCAGAAAAGGTTACTTGCGAAAATTGTATCCATATTTTTCTCCTTGTTTTCTGCTTCAAGACAGATTCATCCCTGTGAAATCTGCTGTAACCACCAACTACACATCCCATACGTTACGGTAGTGTTTGCGCATATACCGGTACAGTCAGTTAGTTTATATATACCAAAAATATAATAAAAAGACTAGTTATAGGATCAGATAAGCAGAGTAAACACAATGAATTATAAAATCTAGATCATTTGAGACAAAAAATGGCCTGGTATGCGCTTTTTCACTAGAAAATATATTGCAGCAAAAGGTCCGGCACAGAACTCGAGTACGTCTTGACCTCGATTAGTTGAGTTTACTGCAATTTCTCATAATGCAATAATATTATTTAGAGATATTGGTATTGATTTAAATCACGAAAGCTTCCTCCAAATGCGTCGCCCAATAGAACTAGCGCACGGTTCAAAATGAGTACACAGAATGCTATAATTGCCTTTGACCTAATGCAAAGTTTCGCCGACGAGTTCTCACTACTACGTCATCAACGGGACATACTAATTTGCGTTCGATTTCGGCAGGGTCGACTTTTAAAAATACGAGTCTCGCAAACGAAGTCCATTTTATGCAAACGGTAAACGCCAAAAATCTTAATAAATTATATAGAATCAAATTTGCTACAAAAATGTTTGCGTGATAACCCACCTTTAAAAAAAAAAAAGTTATATGATAAAAGTGAACATATTTGCTTGAAAGTACAAATATTAGTTATATGCCAAATACCTTGAAGAACATTGGAATTTTATAGAAGGCAATTCACAGGCCGTTTGGTTTTGTTCTGCATAGTGCCCGTTTTGAACGAGATGTAATTTTGTATAAATAATATATAGATATATTCTTATTTATACACAATGGCTATTTGAGTACTGCTGCCTCATTGATGTAATGTTGCTATCACGAGTATAGTAGACGCTCATCATAATATCAAGTTGACCTTGACACCACCCACATTTGATCATACATTCATTGTACAAAATGTTATTGTAAAAAATAATGTATTTGAATTTAATATTTTCAAGGCATCATGATCGTTATAATGAAGAAAAAACTCCAATTCCTATCTGAAACATTGCATATAATATCACCGATTCACTAGGAAACATTGTTGGGAAATCATAAAAATATATTTACTCTTACAGTGATTCAAAATTGATAACTGATGGTGATTTAACTGTTGATTAAGTCACACTCATGAATAATTTTATCAGATACATCACAAAATCTATTTGAATTTACCACAACCGATTTTCTCGTCAAGCCAATATGTAAAACGTTCAGCAAATTTACTGGTGTGCGCGAGACTTATTGTCTGTTTCCTATGCTATATGAAATCTATGAAAGCATAGCTTTCTGTAAATTGAAATTGAACTTATCACTACCAGAGAAATATTCACATTTGTCAAAAAATGCTGATTTCCATTTTACATTGTGGCTATCGTTAGTCATAAAAAACTGCTTTTTTTGTATAAAATAACTATGAGAAAATACTTTTAACCTTGGTCCAACAGTCAAAAATGTAACAATACCAATATAAAATCATATGTACCACTACATATATATACCAAAAAAGATTTTCTTTGATTATCATACGCCTGGTAATAGTGATGAGAAATGTACCAATAACAATTGGAAGATATTAATATGGCTAAACGATTAGAAAATTTGTGAAAGATTGCTGATAAAAGGAGTAAGCACAACAAATACATCATACACCTTTGAAATCTGATAATGTAATTTATGTATGAACTAAAAGATATCACAAATATTCAACAGTGACTGCTGGTAAACTTGTCCAAAGGACTTGTAATAACGTTAAGCATGACTAGCAGTTGCTTTTGGCGAGTTAATTCGTGCGAGTTAATTCGTTTATTGAAGTATACAAACGTTCCATACGAATTATGAAGCTGTCTTTTTTTAAAAAGAAAGAATTAATCAAAAATAGAAAACTAAACGCCAAATCAAGTAATGTTAGCAGAAATTGAATGGAACAAATATATTCGGCAAGCATTCAACTCTCGTTAAATTTTTGAGGTTACAGTGTTGAAGTATCATAAAAACGCACCCTTGAAGATAGTGCCTAAATTAACAGCATATATAAATAAACATTGTATCTCTTTCTAAGCTCGTTAACAAGTCGGGAGTTTTCATTACAACCAATATGAACCAACTTGATTCCCAGGCGGTTGACAGTCAAGGCGTTTGCGATGCATTGAAAATCTTTGCATACGAACATTGC